TGGGACCGCCCGCATGCGCCCCCCACGCACCCAATTTCGCATTTTCAACCACCCAGCACAACGCTTCGTGACCCCATAGGGAGCTCCACCGAAACCCCCAGTGGTACCGCCCACATGCGTCCCCCACATTCAATTTTGCATTTTCACCCACCGAGTGCCACGTTCCGCGGCCCAATTGGGAGCCCCACCGAAGCCCCCACCGGGACCGCCCGCATGCGTCCCCCACACCCAACTCGGCATTGCCCGCCCACCCAGTACAGCGCTCCGTGGCCCCATAAGGAGCTCCACCAAAGTACCCAATGGGACCGCCCGCGTGCGTCCACCATGCCCAAGTTGGCATTTCCACCCGCCCAGTACACCGTTTTGTGGCCCCATAGGGGGCTCCACCGAAGCCCCCAGTGGGACCGCCCGCATGCGTCCCCCACAGGGAGCTCCACCGAAGCCTCCAGTGGTACCGCCCGCATGCGTCCCCCACACCCAATTTGGCATTTTATCAACCCAGTACAGCGCTTCGTGGCCCCATAGGAAACCCACCGAAACCCCGAGTGGGGCCGCCCGCACGCGTCCCCCACACCCAATTTGGCATTCCCACCCGCCCTTTACAACGCTTCGCGGCCCCATGGGGAGCTCCACCGAAGCCCCCAATGGGACCGCCCGCATGCGTCCCACACGCCTGATTTGGTAGTTTCACCCACCCAGTGCAGCGCTTCGTGGCCTCATAGGGAGCTTCACCGACGGCGCCAGTGCTACTGCCCGCATGCGTTCCCCCCCCGCCCGGCGCAGCGCTTCGTGGCCCCATAGGGAGCTTCACCGAAGAAAATATTCACAATTGCGGTACGCAGAACTTCGTATGGTTGGGTCCTTCGGTCAGGATTATGTTTGCCGCATCAATTGGCCTTTATTAATCCTCCTGTTCCGCCTCCTCCTTCCGTCTTCACTCATCCCACGTACCCCTTACTTCTCTTAATCCCTCATCTCTCATCCTTCCGCCTTCCCTTCCTCAACTATCCTTCCTTCACCCTAATCCTCACTTCCCTCCCTCATCCATCCCTCATACATCTCACCCTCTCTCCTCCTTCATCCCAGCCTCACGCCTCCCTCATCCCTCATCCTTTCATTCCTCCCCCGATCCCTCCCTCCCTCATTCCTCCTTCCCTCATCTCTCGTCCCTCATTCCTCCCTCATCCTCCCTCGGGAAGTGGCACTGGGGACGCAGTCTCTAGGGAAGCGGTTCCTGGGAGGAGGGTGCAGATGAGAAGTTGACATGTCCCAAGAAGAAGGTCCGGGGATACGGATCCGGGGAAGCGGTTCCAGGGAAATGGCCTTGGGGAAGCGAATCCGGGGAAGCGGTTCCAGGGAAACGGATCCGGGGAAACAGTTCTGGGGAAACGGTTCCGGGGAAACGGTCTTCCGGGGAAGAGGTTTCTGGGGAAGAGGTTTCCGGGGAAACGGCCCTCCGGGGAGGTTTCGGGGAAACGGTTCTAGGGAAACAGTTTTAGGGAAACGATTCCCGGAGAAACGGTCTTGTATCGGAGGAGGAGAAGCAATACAGAGGAGGCAGAGGAGGAGGACGCGGGAGGGGTGATGGGGCGATGGCCACGCGGGAGGAACATGGCCATGCGACGGGTCGATGGGCATTGCCACACGTACCACAGTCAATTGTTAGCGCTACCGCTGAACATTAAATCAAGTGCGATTGGTCCTCTGAGCAAAAAGGCTACTATTGGTTTATCATGAATGCGGAGCCCGTGCTTCTCCCCGCGGGCTCCAAAGCAGACACGGCAGCGGCGGCCGCTGCAGCGACCCAGGTCGACCCCGTCAACAACGACCCGGTTTACAATGTGTCGTTACTTGAGGTGCATGGGGCTTGGTATAATATTGGCACAATCCGATTCGCAGAATTGGGCAATGCCGGTCAGGAGAACGGAAACGTCAGGTATGTTACTACCGCGTGCAGAGCCAACCGCGAAGGGATGAGGTTGCTCTCTGAGAGCAGCGCCACGCCTGGTACCCGGGCGATTGATTGACGATGATGAGGCATTCGCCATGTTGCAGATGAGTTACAGTATGAATGTTCTTCTGATACCAGTCACCAGCCGTATCATGTACTGCGAGAAATCGCTGAATCACGTGAAGGAACACTTCCGAACAAATCAACAACATCAAGCGGGAGTTTCGGAGCACGTTACCGAGCTCGCCGAGCTGCACAGTCTGTTGGCACCACGAGGACGGGACGAGGTAGAAAAACCATTTTGCGAACACAAAGGCCGTTCAACAGTTCAAGATGTTCCCGGGTGGCCCGACTTGCCTCCTGGAGTGGAGCCGGAAGTTGCTGAACGCGATCGCCTTTTTGAAACACGGTTACTTGACAGCCTTGAAATATTTGAACCAAGAAAGTGATTCCATGAAAGGGGCGTTATCCGATGACGGAGGGGACGAACGATAAACATTGCAAACGGGATGTTCGCCCTGAGTGAGGAGCCGCTATCCCCGGATAGTGAAGAGTACCCCACCCACCCCATTAACCCTTGAGTGGTTGTTGTCTCCGGGTCAGACATTTGATTGTGGAGAGGGGCGGCGCGGGGCCGACCTTGATTATCGCGGGGGGAAGTCGCGAATCAAAGTTATTTTCTCGTACGAACTAGCAACATTATCACAAACGAGGAGCATGGCAATGGAGGTCTCACCATTTCAGCTCTCGCTCAGGCCCGCAGCAACTGCCTTCCCTGCAAGAATCAGCATTGCCATCGACATCGTCATCATGATCACGACCATTTCCGCTGGGGACATCGTTGATCATCCGCTCAGGCCCCGAACCTCAATTATCCCCAGGGTTTTGATATCACGGGTTATCGGTTATACCAACGCGTCACCAACCCAGCAACGCAATACGACGCCAATGGAGAATATGCGCTCGATGAAAGCGATTTCGCAACGTTGGACTTCTTGTATCAGTTAGATGCCAAAGTGGAATGGACGGAGCCACTGGGGAAAACTCGAGGTTTCGCTCGAGGGAGATGGCTTAATGGCTTACCGGGAAATATATGAATGATGCATTGCCGATGCAGGGGTCGCACAGCCACGCGAAAACGACGTGGCCATTTATACACATATTTCCGAGAAGGGTGACGACGTGGCGACCTAGTTTGAACAGCGGAGTGCAGTGGTGCATCCTCTTGACAACTGCGAGAAATTAGCTCGCTACCTTTGCCACTCAAGGTTCCTGCTTCCAGGGTCCTCATGACCCGCGTGGGCGCTTGATTTGACTATTGGCAGCAGGGCCGCTTCAAGACCGATTGGAGGCCGAGTCGGGCCAGAACCAGAAGATTCGACGCCACTCGGCATCCTTTACCCACTTGTAGATTGGAGCCCGGGCGCGTTGCGACATTGGGCAAACAAGAGACAGGCAGAGATATGCGTCAAAGAATGCGGGACATGATCAGTACGAAATGAGATGTGAGTTACCAGCGGGGGGAACCAAACGTGCGAGGGGGAAGATGACTGGGGCGATATGCGCCCGCGAAGTTGAGGAATGCCAAGCCTTGGTGACCAGAGTCGACTTCTCTTTGTAGGTCGTTCCGAGATGCGTACACTTTGCGGTCAAGGAATTTGCACGAGTCATGTTAGTAGTTTCGAACCGAGGGGCGTGGAAAGGTCTGGCCAATGTGGACAAGTACTTCAAGAACCGCGATATGTGATGGCATCAGGATTTGTAGCAAGAAGGCCCTGAGGAGTCAACCTTGTGGACTGACACCAGATGCATCGGAACGCGTAAACCAACGCGTGGGCGAACAGGTATGCGGGGATCACACTTGATACAGGTTTGGGGTTCGAGTCATAGCGTCGATGCATCATCTTCCGTCTTCCGGAGAAGCAGAGTGTCACGAAATTGCGCAAAGTGAACCAGGCACGCTCGAATGTGAAGCAGTCCTCAAATGTTTTGATGTTGACTGCAGTCTTGCGTTAATGAGTGGTGATCGTGCGGCCTATGCTATTGCGAGCAGGCGAGGGCCAGGACAAGTCAGTCACATCGAAGTGTGTCAACCATGGTTACATGAGAAGGTACGACCACGATACATCAAAGCGCCCCCCTTTTTTTTGGGGGGGGGGGGGGGGAAACCAAATGGAACTCGAACAGACATTGTAACCCCATATGGTAATAAAAAACCAGCTATTCAAATGCAGACCAAACACGGAATGCTAGCTAAGACGGTCTTCAGGTTATCATTGTGATTTTTTGGGGTGGGCAATAGAGTTCAGGACCAGTTGAGATCCAGGTGCTCGTCTACGTAACAAGCAGCAGGTGTTTACCATTATGGCTGACACGGTGCTTTGCGATTTGTGCAAGGAATGCACCGAGTGTCAGCATGCCCTTGCACGTTTACGCCCAACGCATACTCGTCGACCTGCATCAGGCACGGCTACTTTTACGATGCAAGTTTAGATTCGCCACAGGGTGCCTTATGTAATTTTGTATCACAGCCGTGGGCGCTCACTGTTTTATCTTTGCACATACCACTTATCCGTTTCTATGTGCGCAATGTTGATTGTGACCCAACAGTGTAATTATTTCAGTTGGGTTGGAGATCCGGCAGACTTCTGCATTGATTCAAATAGCTCCTATGCCGCTCGCTGTAGGTGAGTTGTTCACCTGTCGCTTCAGTCTGCCATCGTGTGCCGAGGGGGGGGCGCTAGAACATGGTCATGCGGCGGGGCGAGGAGCATTGCCACACGTTCCGCAGAAAAGTGTTAGCGTTCCTGCTGACATTTGACTCACGTGCCGTGTGTTATCTGAGCAAAGATTTCCCACATGTTTTTGTTCCTGGGCGGGGAGGAGGTCAAGGAATTGGAAAGAAGCAACAACGGGAGCACGAACAACAGAAACTGGGAGGATCAGGATGGACGGGCAGATCAAGAGGCAGGAGGAGGAGTGAGGAGCTGGAGGGAAGAAAAGGACTGAGGATAATGAGGAAGTGTCAGAGCGGCAAGGGATGGGCAAGGCGAAACTCAAACTCGGCGTACTTGAAGGGCAACCCGGAGGTGCGAGCAGGTTCCTCGAGATCGAATGGCTATAGGCCGCCACAGGACGGACGCCGGATACACCTCAGCGTATCCCACTTCGTTTGTCGGCTTCCCTTCCCGCCCCTTCTTTTCTTCGGTTCCGCTTGTGTTTCTTTCTCGTCTGTCGATGCTGTCCCTTCTTCGGTTCGCTGCTGCTTCCTGCTCCCCAAACGGTGTGGTGACCACACCGTGGGTGAGCCAGTGGGGGTCAGGGGTCACTACACGGTTTTAGGGCTCGGGTCGTTCTCCGAGGACGTTTCAGGTCACCAGGGCCTCCGAGGTCCCCAGGCCGTGCTGTGATGGGCCGCACGGTGGGATCATTGGGACGCTTATCAGCCTGGAACACATCCCGATCTTTCTGATTGGCATCGCTTCATTTCGATGCCAATCTGAAGGAGTCCCTCAGTTCCTGAAGGCGCGTACCTAATATGTTAAATCGTAGGGGTAAGGGAACAGTTCGAAGGTGGTAGGAAGCCGAGGCCACCTCACAGACCGTCACCGCACGGTTCTAGACACCAACATATCTGTCCTTTCATTGCATCCGTTTGCGACCCGCCCCCTCTCCGCCTCTTCTTTTGCTTTCTGTCGGGGTGCGTTCCCGCTGCCCTACCGACAGGGCCAGTGAATGTCTTAATGAGAAAAACAGGAAAGTCATATCTGTACATATATATATGTATATGTATGTGAGGGGATCATTGTGGTATAATGTGCGTCCCCTCTTTATCCTCGTTCTCCCACTCACTTTTCATCTCTTCCTCCTCTTCCTCCTCCTCCTCCTTCTCCGCCTCCCCTTCTTCCTCCTCCTCCTCGTCCGCCTCCCTCTCTCCCTGCTCATCATTACCAGCATCATCGTTTCAGCATCCGCATGCTCCTCGTCCTCTTAATGCATTGCATGTTGTCCAGACACGTCAGATTTCCGAGGCCACAGTCTCGCCCACCCGGTCTTAGATAGGCCCGGACGCTATCCGCCGCGGTGGTCGTTCGTTCATCCTCCTCATGCTGCTCCTCATCCTTATCTTCCTCCTCCTCCGCATCACCTCCTCCTCCTCCGCATCACCATCAACATCATCAGCAGCATCGCCATCGCCACCATCATACTCGTCGTCGTCATCGTTGTGGTAATCGTTGGCATCATCATCGTCATCATCATCACCATCATCATCATCATTGTCGTCCTCGTCGTCGTCGTCGTCGTCATCATCATCATCATCATCATCATCATCATCGTCGTCGGTTGCATAATGATATGTCCGCAAAACCGCTTCTGCGGACATATCGTCAATAGGCCTCCCCTCTTCCTCATTCTCCTCCCAATCCTCTTCCTTCTCCTTCTCCCACTCCTCCTCCTCCTCGGGCCTGAGTACCGTAGGTCAGAGCATCTGGGAACCCAGAGTTGCGAGGATGTACTCCAACTCATTCTTCATCTACCATCCTCCTCCTTCTCCGCCTCCTCCTCCTCCTCCCCTTCCTCCTCCTCCTCCTCCTCCTCCTCCTCCTCCTCCTCCTCCTCCTCCTCCTCCTCCCTCTCCTCCTGCGCATCATTACCGGCCTGATCGTTTCAGCAACCGCATGCTTCTCATCCTCCTCCTGCTACTCGTCGTCGTCATCGTTGTGGTACGCGTTGGCATCATCATCGTCATCATCGTCGTCATCATCATCATCATCATCGTCGTCGTCATCATCGTCAACATCATCGTCGTCATCGTTGTGGCATCATGCGCGATCCCCCTCGTTCTCCTCCTCATCATCCTCCATCACCGCCCTTCCTCATCATCCTCCATCTCCTCACTGTCCTCCATCTCCTCCTCTCTCCCCTCCTGCTCATCATTATCAGCATCATCGTTTCAGCATCCGCATGCTCCTCGTCCTCTTAATGTTTTGCATGTTTTCCAGACACACCAGATTTCCGAGGCCACGGCCTCGCCCACCCGGTCTTAGATAGGCCCGGACGATGTCCGCCGCGGTGGTCGTTCGTTCATCCACCTCATGCTGCTCCTCATCCTCCTCATTATCTTCCTCCTCCTCCGCATCACATCCTCCTCCGCATCATCATCAACATCACAAGCAGCATCGCCATTACCACTATCATACTCGTCGTCGTCATCGTTGTGGTTATCGTTGGCATCATCATTGTCATCATCATCATCGTCGTCGATTTGTCCTCCTCCTCCTCATCCTCCTCCTCCTCCTCATCATCATCATCATCATCATTGTGCCGTCACCTTCTCGTTTTCAATTTCTTTATTGCGTTTCCCAGAGCGAACCCTGAAAGAGCTGCTGAGAGGCCCTGGGGAGGAGAGGCCATGATATGCTCTGCAGGAGCTGCTGAGAGGCCCTGGAGAGGAGAGGCCACGGAGAGGCTCAGAAGGGCTTCGCAAGAGGCTCCTGAGATGCTCTTGAGATGATATAAGAGGGCCTCCTGGGCAGGTCTTGAGAGTCTCTGAAAGGCTTTATGATCGACTCTTGAAGAGCTCTGGAGGGCACCACGAGCTCCTGAGAATCTCTCGAGATACCCTCCCGACCAGTTACTCAGGGCTTAGGCTCGGAATGGAGCCCCGAGAGACTCTTGAAAAGCTCAGGCGTGTCTTCTGAGAGGATGTTGGGAAGTTCTGCAAGGCCCCTGGGAAGCCTACTGAGAGGCTCTGCCAAGTTTCCAGAGAGGCTCTTAGGTGTTTCACAATGGGAGTCCTGAGGGGCTCTCGAGAGGCTCTGGGCACGTGCTGAATGACTTCTTCAGAGGTTCTTGAGCGGTTCTCAAAGGCCTCACGATGTTCTCTTGAAAGGCTTCGAACGGCTTCATGAGGGGCTCAGAAGAGGCCCATCAGAGCCCCCCCTCTCCCGGGCCGCCTTGAAGCCGCCCCCGAGACACCCTGACGGGCGTCCCTGTACGCTCTGAAGGGTGGCCTAAAAGTTCTTGAGAGCGTACTGAACAGCTCTGAATCCCTCCCCCCGTCCCCGTGAGAAACTCTGAGAGGGCATCATTGGAAGGCTCCTGAAAAAATGCGCATGAGAGGTGCTTGAGAGGTTCCCAGGGGCCTCATGAGAGGCTCCTGAGAGGCTCTGATGGGCCTCCTGACATGTTATTGAGATGCTCTGAAGGAGCTCTTGGGAGGAGATGCTCTGGAGGGGCTTCGCAGGGTGTCCTGAGAGGCTCAGGAGACCCTCAGAAGGGCCTCCTGAGAGGTTCCTGAGACACTTGAGGTGAGACTCGAAAGGGCTTCATGCGAGGCTCTGTTGGGCCTTAGAAGGGGGTTATCTAGCAGAGGGTGGCAGTCTGGGAGGGGGGCCTGTCTAGCGCTGGCAACGTGGCCGCCTGTCCGCCTGCTCACCCGACCGCCTGACCATCCGACGACCTGACCACTTGACTAGGGCCTCATCAAGCAGAGGGTTACGCACTGGGCAGAGAGGGGGGAAGGAGAAAGACAGAGAGAGAGAGAGAACAACACAAGAGCGAGAGATAAGATGAAGGGCCTCCCCCCCCTGAAAAGCTGTCACGTACCTGTCCAGCGGTGAGTAAGGGCTCAATAAGAGGTTCTTACGAAGCTTGAAAGGGCTCCTTGATGGAGTCTTTCGGCGATTTGAAGGCCGTCCCGCGAGGCTATTCAGAAGCTCTGAAGTGCTTCCTAAGGGGCTTTTGAAAGATTATGAAAGGCTTCTAGAGAGCCTCATGAGAGGCCCTTAAATAATTTCCAGAGTAACTCTTTGGAGGCACTGAATGGATTCCTCAAGGGCTCTCGAGAGGCCTCTGGCATACTCTGAGTTGCCTCGTGAGAAACTCTCACGGGCTTCAGTGTTGGCTCTTGAGAGGCTCTGAAGGGGGTTCTGAAAAGGCTCTGGAGAGACTCTTCAGAGCCCTCTGAGCCACCCTGAAGCTCCCCCCCTCCCTGGGACGTCCTGAAGGGCATCCTGACATGCTCTGAAGAGCCCACTAACATATTTTGAGCACCCTGAAAGGTCTTGACCCGCCCCTCCCCGAGAAGCTCTGAAGGGCATCCTGGGAGGGCGCCTCAGGAGAGTCCTGAGAGGCTCTCGAGAAGCTCTGACTGGCCGCATGAGGACCTCTAGAGTGACTTCAGAGACTCTGAAGGGCTTCCGAAGATGCTCTGAAGGAACTCCTGAGGAACCCTTGGAGAGGAGAGGCACTGGAGAGGCTCCGAAGGGCTTCTTGAGAGGCTCTTGAGAGGCTCCGAAAGGCTCCCCGAGAAGCTCTGGGTATGCTCCTGAGACGCTTTGAAGGGCCCCCCTGAGAGAGGCTCCTGAGAGGCTCTAAAGAGTTTCCTGGGCAGCTCTTGGAGGGCGTTGAAACGCTTCATGATGGACTTTTGAAAAGCTCTGGAGGGCCCCATGGGAAACTCTTGAGAATCTCTTGGGAGCCTTCCCCTGCGCGGCCATCAAAGGCTTAATCAACGGGTACTACGGGGCTCTAACGGGCCTCATGAGAAGCTCATAAGAAGCTCTGAAGGGGCCCCTAAAGACTCTCGAGAAGGTCTGGCGTGCCTTGCGAGAGGACCCAGAAAGAATTCTGTAAGGCCCCTGGAACCCCCTTGAAAGATTCTGAAAAGCTTCCAGAGAAGCCCTTGGGAGGCTCTGAAGAGATTCCTGGGAGGCCCGTGCGAGCGAGGTGGCACGCGCGTAGCGACCTCGTCAAAGGTTAGTGTGAAACTCTCAGGGGCCTTTCAGCTCGGTCTTGAAAGGCTCTGAAGGGCTTCAGGGATGCTCTTGAGATGCTCTGGAGGAGCTCCTGAGAGGCCCTTGAGAGGAGAGGCGCTGGGGAAGTTCCGTAGGGCTGATGCTCTTGATATGCTTCAAGTGGGCCTCCTGGGCAAGTCTTGAAAGGCTCTGAAAGGCTACATGGTAGATTCTTGAAGAGCCCTGGGGGGCACCATGAGAAGCTCCAGAGGATCTCATGAGAGACACTCCTCGTCCGCTATGAAGGCTTCGGCTCTGAAGGGGCCCCGAGAGGCTATTGAAAAGCTATAGCGTGCCTCCTGACAGGTTTTGGGAAGCTCTGCAAGGCCATGGGA